AAAAAAAAAAAAAAGCACGGCAAAGAAAAAAGGAAAAGAAAGAATCGAAAGATAGATTTATGTTCAAATATCGGATATAAAAATATCAAACGAGAAGAAACAAATAATATTTTTATTTGTTTTCAAATATTTCTTTTATTTTTAAGTGCTCAATTCTCGACTCCGTTCTCGTTTGCTGGAGCTCGTAAATCTGGTGTGCTACAGATTTAGAGACGTTTGCCGTTGTATCTTGGGGAAGTTACGCCTTAACCGTTAGCTGCTACACGGGGCGTATTCTTCTTGCGGAAAGAGTTTTACTCGCCTCGGCTAAAATCTTTCCGTTTTTAAGTTGTAATTTATTTTTCAGTTCAATTGTAATTTTCTATTTTTAGATTATTGGTAAGAACTGAAAAATACATATTAGTTCTTAGGATTCCCGTGTAATTTCGCACAAAATATCCAACAATCGCAAGAAGAATATCGTCAACCTACTGAACTGATGGCATCCACCGGAGCAAGTTCCAGCTCTCAGAAGCCGAATCATATGGGAAACTCCTCCACGTTTGATGTGGCTGGAGTGGGCACTGTGGTGTTGAAGCTCACTTCTAGAAGGGAGTTGAAGCTGAAGGATGTTCTGCATATCCCAAACATCCACAAGAATTTGGTCTTTGGATCACTTCTTGTTGAGCACAGATTTAGGTTGGTGTTTGAAGCTAAGAAGTTTATTCTTAGCAAGAACAGAATATTCCTTGGTCATGTGTATCTCAACAAGGGATTGTTCAAAATGAACGTATTGGTCGTGAGCCGTGTGACCGTTGATAATAAAAAGCCTATTTCTGTTTATACCGTTGAGTGCTCTGATATATGGCATATTAGATTGGGACATGTAAATCTAAATGCGATAAAACGATTGATGAAATTAGAATTAATTCCTAATTCTAAATTTGATAAAAATACAAAATGTGAAATTTGTATTGAAGCAAAAATGGCTAAGTTGCCTTTTCACTCGGTGGAAAGGAGTACTGAACCATTAGGCTTGATCCATACTGATGTATGTGATATGAAAAATGTGCAAACAAGAATCGGTAAAAAGTATTTTGTAACTTTTATCGATGATTGCACAAGGTTTTGCTACTTATTTTTGTTAAGAAGCAAAGATGGGGCTGTGGAAGCGTTTATGATATATACGACCGAAGTTGAAAATTAACTTGGCAAAAAGATCAAAATAATCCGAAATTATAGGGGTAGGGAGTATGTATCTCCTTTTGAACAAATATGTTCTGAATATGGCATAATTCATCAAACGTCGGCCCCTTATTCTCCACAGTCTAACGGTGTTGTTGAACGTAAAAACCGTACGTTAAAAGAAATGATGAATGTCATGTTGATAAATTCAGGACTACCCCAAAACATGTTGGGGGAAGCTGTTTTGACAGCAAATCATATCCTGAATAAAATTCCACCTAAAAGGAAAGATGAGACTCCTTACGAAATGTGGAAAAATCGTAAGCCGTCTTATAAATACCTGAAAGTGTGGGGGTGTTTGGCTAAGGTTTCAGTACCTAAACCTAAACAAATGAGAATCGGGCCAAAGACGGTTGATTGTGTATTTATTGGATATGCGTACAATAGTACAGCGTATAGATTTCTGGTTCATAAATCAGAAAATCCAGAAGTATCGGTTGGTACCACGATTGAGTCAAGGAATGCTATATTTTTTTGAGAATGTTTTTCCTATGAAGGAAAAAACAGAATTTAGTTCTAATAAAAGAACGTATGAAAATGCTAGTGGTTCTGTACCAGAGGGTACTGATGAAGAACCGAGGTGTAGTAAAAGGGTAAAAACAGTAAAAAAGTTTGGACCTGGTTTTATTACGTACATGTTGGACGATGAACCGAGTTCCATTAAGGAAGCTCTGTCTAGCCCATACGGACCACTCTGGGAAGAAGCTGTAAATAGCGAAATTGAGTCCATTATGCAAAATCATACTTGGGAGTTGGTTGATCTCCCAGATGGTTGTAAACCTTTAGGATGCAAATAGATCCTAAAGAGAAAATATAAAGCTGATGGATCCGATTGATAAGTTTAAAGCACGATTGGTGGTAAAAGGCTTTAAACTAAAGGAAGGGTATGATTTCTTTGATACCTATTCACCAGTTACTCGTTTAGCGTCGATAAGAGTGCTTCTCTCGATTGCTGCTTTGCACAATCTTGAGATTCACCAAATGGATGTCAAAACGGCATTTTTGAATGGTGAATTAGAAGAAGAAATATACATGGAACAACTTGAAGGGTTTGTTGCACCTAGACAAGAGAGAAAGGTGTGTAGATTGATCAAATCCTTGTACGAACTGAAACAAGCTCCGAAACAATGACATTTGAAATTTGATGACGTGATGTTGACAAATGATTTCAAAATAAACGAATGTGATAAATGTGTTTATGTCAAGAGTACATCAAATACATTTGTGATTGTATGTCTATATGTAGACGATATGTTAATCATGGGGAGTAGCCATGAAGTGATCATGGATACGAAAAGAATGTTGAAGAGAAATTTCGACATGAAAGATATGGGTTTAGCTGGTGTTATTCTTGGAATAAGGATTATCAGAACCCAAGATGGAATTGTCTTGTCACAATCTCATTATGTAGAGAAAGTGCTCAAGAAATTTGATACCTATGACAGTGCACAGTCTAGGTGTAAGACACCCCTTGATCTCAGTATAAATCTGGAATCAACAAAGGTCAACCAGTGGCTCAGTTGGAATATTCACAGATAATAGGGAGTCTGATGTACTTGACAAATTATACACGACCAGACTTGGCCTATCCGGTGAATAAGTTGAGCAGATTTACGAGCAATCCCAGTCATGAGAACTGGAATGCTTTGAGAAGGGTACTTAAGTACTTGAGGTACACCTTTGAATATGGGTTAAAATAGTCGAGATATACATCCGTACTTGAAGGGTACTGTGATGCAAGCTGGATATTAGATTCGAGAGATTCTCGCTCCACTAGCGGATATATTTTCTGTATTGGAGGAGGTGCAGTTTCGTGGAAATCCACAAAACAAACGTGTATAGCTCGGTCAACGATGGAATCAAAGTTCATCGCTTTAGATAAAGCTGGTGAAGAAGCCGAATGACTTAGAAATTTTTTATCTGATATTTCATGTTGGGATAAGACTTTGCCGCTTGTGATGATTCACTGGGATAGCCAAACTGCTATAGGTAGGGCGCAAAGCAACTTGTATAACGGTAAGTCAAGACATATTCGTCGTAGACATAATACCGTACGCCAATTGATCACAAATGGTGTTATTTTCATTGACTATGTGAAGTCTAAGAAAAATTTGGCTGATGTTTTGACGAAAGGATTGAATAGAGACCAATTGTCAGTTTTGCTAGAGGGAATGGGCTTAAAAATCCACAATGTAAAGAATGATCATAGTGGTAACCTTACCATGCTGAGTGGAGATCCCACAAACTTGGTTCAAAGGGAAAACTAAGCTATGAAAATTCAGTTGAGCACTTGGAACATATGAATGTCCAAAGTTATTCCCTAGAGCACACCAAGTGCAAAATTACCTGTTGATTGTGGTGAGGGTAAGTCATATGGACTTTTAATGAATCTCTAACCTTGTAAATGTGTGATATAGCAGGATACTCTTGATAGGGAGGTCACCTATATAAGTGTGAAGCGTGGGCCGCTTCAAATGTAAACACTTATGAATCCATTGTGTTGTCCATGGCTAAAACAGACACAACGATAGAACGAATGGAGTTAAGACTTTATTGTGTGAATGTCATTGTCTCGGTGTACACTATGGGGGAATAGTTCAAGGCATTATGTCCACTAGGCCGCCAGTGCATCTGATGATGTTTAGTAAGAAAGGTTAAAAGCCAAAAGCTATCTTCTCTGATGCAATAGAGTTTTGTGAGGATTGAACACATAGTATATTTAATTTACACTCATGTGAGGATTGTTGAAAAAAAAAATGTGAGTGTACAATTATTTGGACAACCAATACATGAATTTGTTAATCAAGTCAATGGTTAGTACAACCATTTCTCAACCAAAATTCAATCGTTTCCTAACCACTTGATGCCATCATTATTTAATTGGTTGTTTAACAAATTGAAAACAAAACATCTTGCTCCCATGAGTTTATATATATATGTTCTGCAATGGAAAAGGGACGAGAGAAAAAAAAAAA